TCCTACTGTTGAGCCAGGTACCACCTATACTGTAGCTGTGTATTTTTGTTGCCTAAATGTAGAACCTTACTTTTTTCACTATTGAATTTCATTTTGTTAGATAGCGCTCAATGTTCAAGTCTGTCAAGATCCTTCTGTATCTTGAAAAGCCTCACTACTGCAGGAGGCCTTAGGCTAGTCACGCACCTGCCACAACTTAAGCCTCTAAACAGAAACAAACCTTGGTTCCATTTGTTGAGAAAGGTGGAATTTATTAGAGGTTGAGTATATCACAGTATTGATCCCTGGCAATTGTCATAAACATGAACCAGGTGCCAAATGTCCAAATTTTGATCACAGGACCATGGGGATGCTGCATTAAGTGTGAATAACGGTCACATTTTTTCCGGTGCTGTTGTAAACTTTGGTGGTTAAACAAATGACTGGTGTCAACTCAAGGCCCGGGGAACGAATCCGGCCCGCAGAGTGCTTAGATCTGGCCCCATGGGACCACTCTGGAAACAGCAAAGGACCAACCCACAATACCTCTGCCAGCAAAAACGTAGTGGATCTCCCCAGCTCCGTTTTCGTTGGCAGAGGATCGCAGGAGGCCGCCATTGACCCAAGTGATGTTGAGCTGGCCACGCCCACCCTGGCCACGCCCACCCCTCCCTCCCAAGGTCAAACCCAACCTTGATGCGTCCCTCAATGAAATTGAGCTTGAGACCCCTGGTATAAGTGGAGGACTAACCGTAATTCTTGAGAGGGAGCATACCGTTTGAATTGCAGGGATATTTTGGAAAAGCAACTGTGACATGATGGATACACAAAGCTGCGGTTCTGGATGGAAATCACAGAGGCAACCAGGAAGTGTCCGCCATTCATGTGCTTTCACAATTATCTATTGGGGGGGGAGAAATAAGTTTTAGTTAACCCTGACTATGTTACATTCACTCTCCTTGTGCAACAATATTAACCTTGTTAAGCCAAGGAGCTCCGGGGAAAAAAGACAAAATGAATGGATAGCTCACCAGAAATTGCCAGATGGAAATGTGTTCTACCCCCTTTCTTCCTAGATAATGGGGGTGAGGGAAGTTGGTTCCAACATAGCTGAAGACCACCAAGATGAAGACATCCAGTTTAAAGCCGTCCACTGGAAGAGAAGAAAGAAGTCTGATTTCCTGAAGGGATAGGAATAGGAAAGAATAGAATAGGAAAGGATAGGATAAGATAGGATATGAAAGACTAGAATAGAACAGCACAGCACAGCAAAGAATAGAATTCTTTATTGGCCAAGTGTGATTGGACACACAAGGAATTTGTCTTAGGTGCAGAAGCTTTCAGTGTACATAAAAGCTATAAACTATTATCATAGTCATCATAAAAATACATCATAAATCATAAGAGACAACACTTAAGTGATAGAATCAACCTAAATCGTACTAGGAAACTAAATTAAACAATATAAACCATAAAGATGCAAGCAACAAAGTTATAATCGTAAGTAGAAAAGGAAATAGGTAATAGGAATGATGAGAAGAATAATATTAATAATCTTAGTAAACAGTCTGACAGTAGTTTTTTTAGCAGAATGATGGCATGTGGGAAAACTATCCTTGTGTTTAGTTGTTTAATTTAGTTTCCTAGTACGATTTAGGTTGATTCTATCACTTAAGTG